TTGTTAAAAATAATTTAAAATTTATAATACTGTTAAGTTTGCCTTTCAATCCCAACCCATTCCTTAAGCGCTCGTAAAGATCTAAATATATTCACAAATATACAGGTATTAAACTTAATTTCAATCATTTATTATGTCATTAACGATATTTTATACACTCATTATATTATCGTTAATGGGAAGGAAGTAATGATCAAATGGTTGATTATATTGAACTAAAAGTCGATAAATTATGTTTAAATAATCAAACGTTGATTTGAAACATATTTATCCCACAAAATAAATGCAATAAATATTTAGATTTGTTGTATTCATTATTTCGGACATAGTTTTAGAGGTATATCTTTATCTCATCATATGATCTGCCGTTTAATATTTTAATCTAAATTGATTTTTAAAATAATTAATTGTTAATTATAGTTGAATTCTTCTTGTGGTCTAATAAACACAAAAATTTAGAGCTTTATTTGTATTAATTACTAGATTTGTGGTTAAATTACATTTTTACAGATTATTAACAACTTTTAATATAAATTACAATAAACAAAGTTTTTACAAACTTGTTTTAATAATTGTAATTAAATTAATTAATTCAAATAATGTGAACGAATGGGTTAATGGATTTCTATATTATACACATTTTTATAGGACGACTCCAATGACATTGANTACACATTTTTATAGGACGACTCCAATGACATTGAAATAGATTTGGACGAACTCTTGGATGTGGAGGAAGACTTGGGGCGCAAAGAATGGCTTAGAGTATGTCTTGTAGTAATGAAATGATTAATTAATTTAATTAATTTTATTGCAAAAAACAGAGCAAATTAATAGACGCCAAGCAATCAAAAGATATCGTCGAGACGTTTATCGTAGAGCTTCTCGAAAAGGCAAAAACTCTTTGAACAAAAGCCACACTTCGGACAAAATGATAGCAAATGTTATAATTAGTGAAAAACTTTTTTTACATTCATTTACTGAACAAATAATTTAAAGCAATGCCTCAAAAATTGAGAATAATTTATTTAACTATTCGGATGCAAACATTTCAAAGTTTGACTTAAAAATGATTTCAATTTTGAGAATCCAAATGCATGTGAAGTTGCAATGCATATACGATCTCGTGGTATAATTGAATATACTGTACATCACATACAAAACAACTAGTCATCCATATATCTGTACATCAAATGATTTCAAACGCAATGATTATTTCAATTATTATAAATCACTACTAAAAATGAATGAATGGTTTAGTTTTGCAAACAGTGTTCAGAAGTAATTGCTTTTTTGTGCCAACTCTTCCGAATACATGAAACATCTTATAAACCAAAGAAAGTATACTTTTTTGTTCATTAGAATCATTTGTTTGCCCTTTTTATTCATCGATTAACAAAAAATTAGTTTTAAGTAACTTATAGATCGTCGTTAGAATTGAATACTTTTACTAATAATAACTTATTTTAATTGATATTAATTGATAAAAAATTGATTTTAAATCTTAGTTCCATTACTTTATTGTATATATCAGTAGTTTTTTGCCCACAAATCTGAAAATAAATTTAACAAATCGAAACATGTTTTGCATTTTTAGTGCCAATCGTTTGCTTAAGTTAATGAAAAAGAGTTTTAACACTTGTTTCGGTTGCAGTTAATTGTGTTTCGATTCAATAAATATGTTTTCAAATGTATGGCAAAAAACTTGTGATTTTAAAAGAAAGAAGAGTTCAATGTTTTGTTACACACGTATCGTAACGTTAGGAGCATTTGCTTCACTTTAAACCCATCGATGCGTTCAACTGATTACCTGTGAATCCAAT